AGCCCCGCTTTGAAGCGCTGCCGAGGCTGGCGGCAGCGGCCGGGCTGCGATGCGATGGCTTTTAAACTGGGAGCGAGATGAAAAGCAGCCGGAAACGCATCTGAAGGGTGACTGCAGGGCTAAGCCTGCTTTTCTCATGCTCGCTTATCCCGGGCTGCTCCGGCACAGACCGAGTCCCCCGGGAGATGCTTTCTCAAGCTCTGCTGCCTGTCCCGGCCTTTGCTGCTCACATCTCTGCTCTGCCGGGAGGAGAAGCAGCAACAGAGATGGAGACAGAGATGTAGATGACATCTCTTTCAGCACAGATGTAAAAAACCTTTTTTATTTTTTAATCATTAAAGGTCCTGTGTTGTTTCCTGCCCCGACTCCCAGGAGCCCAAGCCTGGTCCTGAAGCACAGCTGAGGTGCTGCTGTGGTTCTGGAGCAAGGGAAACTCCTGTGCTGTTTCTGGGAGCGATTTGGGAGGAGAAATGGGGGACAGGAGGGTGGCACGGCCCAGGAGTGGGCAGCACTCAGCAGGCATGCCCAGAACCAACAGGAGAAAAATAATTCCTTTCTCCAAAGCATCCCAGGCTAAATCTACTATTCCTGAGCACTGACCACCTCTTCCACTACACCCCAATGGAACATGCCATAAATCCATGGCCAGACATCCCCGTTCCCCACGGTGCCAGGCCACCAGGCAGCCAAGGCCAAGCAGAGCTGTCGGGGGCACACCAGAGCACAGAAATCACCCTGTGCCTGTTGCTCAACAGGGGAGACACCCCTGGGCATCACCAGCTGAATCATGGCTCTGACAGAGCAGCCAAAACTTTAAAATCAAGTTTAAAACACCCAAGGACCTTGAATGGCTTGTTACCTATCAGATTTAAACACCCAAGGACCTTGAATGGCTTGTTACCTATCAGATTTCTGCTCTCCTGTGCATGGAGTGTCATGGAAATGGCTCTGAGAAGAGCAAACCCAGAATGCCACGGCTTGGAAGGAATTTCATTGCTTGTCGCCTGCACAGAGCCCCTGTGAGGGGCATTAGGAACACAGGAGGCCAGGAGAAGCCTGGATCTAATGAGATTTGTGCTAATTCATGTGATTGTTTATAAGAACTACGCTGCTCTAAGCCTGTTAAGCCACCCTGCCTGGCCAGGACTATCCCAGCTCTGGGCTGAGCACCCTCCAAAGCCTGAGGTTTGCTCAGAGCAGCTGGGCACACATTGTGCCTGGGAGAACACAGAGAAATCTTTGCTATTTCTCCTAAGGAAAGCCCTCAGTGCTCTCTCAGGAAAAATCTCCCCCTGTTTGCTGAGGATGCTGTCCCTGCACAGCGCCAGGCTCTGGGATTCATGGGCTGGGAGCTCTGCAGGGACAGCAAAGCAGGAGCAGCCCCGGGGCCTTTCTGCCTCCTGCAGCTAATCCACCACCCCTGGGCTTCTCAATGGGTTCTCCATCAGGAATTCCCAGTACCAAGTGGGTGTTGGAGAAGAACACCCGGACAAACCCTCCCAGTCACTCGCTCCCTGCCCCAGATCACACAAACTGGGGCCTGAATTTCCTCCCACCACCCTGCTGGAATAAACTGCTGCTGTTGTTGCTGTGTGTTCCCTTCTCTTTTCCTTTGTTCCTTCCCTTGGTTGGAGCTTGTCTGAGCCTTCCTCTCCTCTCCCAGCCAAGCCAGAGGTTACCCCAGCAATCAGCCCCTGGTGCCAAAGAGTC